CGACCACTGAATGTTTAACTAAACATGTTCTGTTCGTGCAAGACACGAATTATGACACAACAATTGTATAACATTACTTTGATAATTCGAGGTGATAAACACATAGCTGCAATTACCTACATCATGAATTATCGGTTTCAGTGTTCTCTTTTGTCATACAATTGTTAATAGTTGCTAAATTATATTCTCCAGGTGTAGATAGCCTTTGAGCAGTTGATGTCGGTTTACGTATTTGTCGTAGAATCATCAAGAAACTTACACTTGCGAGAGAAATATTTGCAAACGCAACGTTCATACCGAAGTGCATTGATAACGTAATAAATATTTCTCAGACTATAGTCTATGATTTATATTATCGTGCTTCCATAACTTCGGCGAAGATGTTCGATTCGTCATCACAGTTTCAAGGACTCAAGGATGAAAGAAAAAGTAATATATGGCAGCTATTCCGCGCTATGGATTTTGCATCGTTGATGTACCCTTGCTTTACTGTTTGCCGCATTCTGGGATTATTTTCATACAAGTTCAATGGTTCGAACGTCAGGACTTACACACCAAGCTATATTCTATCCACCATCGTTATGTGCATCTTTTGCCCTATCTATTCACTGTCTTTCTATGAAGTCAATATAGCTAGAGAGATTGAATTCACAGAGATAGGAGTACCCAGGACACTTGAAGTTCTCTCCTTCTATATTCTTGGCGGTTTTACGGTAACCACTACATTCATTTTGACGGGGCCACGAATGCGTTTTCTTCAGACCATAATGGAGATTTCGTTGAAATTACCCCCGGAATCGTTTCGGAATTTATCCAGATTAATTCATGCTAAAGACATTTTCTTTCTCTTGATTCTAACTCTAACATTGTGGGGATGCTTTATTCCATCGAACATGAGCGTCTCGCAAAAAATTGTTGCGATATATGTGAGCCACCTGGCGTTTCAAATGGATATGCTGTATATGAATTGTGTTTGTATACTAAAAGCTTGTTTCAAGCAAATCGACGACAATCTGGTGAATTTGCGAGAACTCTTGACGAATGGTGAGCCATGCCGTCTGAGCAGCACCTATAGTACGCAGAGAACTCCTTTCATACTGCTGGATATCACAGCTCTGAAAAAGCAGCATTTGGCAATCAATGGCGCAGTACGGATGCTAAATATGGTCTTCAGTTTGCAACTTGTTTCTACGATACTTATGGCTTTCGCTCGTATCACCTTCAATATATACTTTTATTTCATAGTGATAATACAAAATAGTGTGTCCATGACCGATCTACAAAGACATTCGCTTTACATGAACTTCATTATATTTATAACGTATTACATTATTAAATTAGGAATGATACTATGGGCTTGCGAAACTAGCAAGAATCAAGCATTGGAGATCAAAAGCACAGTTCGCGACGTATTCAACCACACCAACAATGAGCAAATAAAATACGAGGTAAATTAAAAGAAATTGTAACTTTAGTGGCATATTTCCTGTATTTTTCAAATTATGTTCCATGTATACAAATTCGATTTATAATATATTAGTTTATCAGATTTGTAAATATATCAGATTGTATCTGTCAATTCTGTATTTGACCCTTTTTTGTTTTGTTATTTTAGTTGGAACTCTTTTCCTTGCAAGTATTACATTGTGAAAATGTATTTTCCGCAAAGTGGATTATTATAGATGCTGCACTCTTTAAATCGGTAAATGAGTTCTTACTAATTTTTATTCAATAAATGTAAGGGTGTTTAATTTAGCTTTGTTTAATGACATTGTTTTATTTTTAGTTAATAGGTAACATTACCACATATCTACTAATCTTAGTCCAACTCCTGTACATGTCAAAGTCTTGCGTTGAAAATCTGTCTAGTTAATAAATCTATCTAGTTTAAAGATAGGAAACATACACACACTTTAAATGTTCTTTTGCTTATTTGATTGTTAGTAGAATATTTGTGTATATTGAATGTAATTGTTGTGAATAGAATAGTGCTTTACGCTTATAATAATAATAGATATACATATACGTATAAAGAAATTCAAAACAATGTTATATTTCATATGTGTTAATACTCAGTTGTAATCAGAAGACCACAAAATCAACTATCCTATTAATTCGCAGTATAATTATTGGTAACTAGTAATAATTATTAATAATTAATTGTTAATAATTTAATTTGTTTTCAATTTTCCTGATCTTGATGTACTAAATGTTAGATAACATTTCTTCAAAAACACAAATATATTTTGTTTTTTACATTTATTATTTAGCTTGAAACATTTAATGTGAAATAGTAGAGGAAAGTCCCGTATTATGAGATAGACTTCAAATAAGAGATAGAAGGTTTTCAACAGTAAAATTCAATAAAACTTTTTTTTTCGCCACGAGTACACTATATAACAATGAATTTTACCCTAAACAGATATTGCTGGAATCAACAGAAGATGTTCATTAATTTAGCAGAAATCCTGCTGTCTCTCTAGTAGTAGGAAACTGTGTCATAATGGGGGACTTCCCTTTATACACAAATATTTCTAACTAAATGAAACGCGATATCTGTAAAGAAGATACATATTTTTCATATAATGTTTATTTAAAGCGTAAAATTCATTTTGTTTCTGTAAAATAGTCTTAAATGGTTTTTCTATTGATCTTTCAGTTATTCCACATAATAAATAAAGGAATATAATTATATACATATATTTTTCCATATACATGAAATATTTTTCCAAAAACATCCTAGTTTTGTCATCTCTTATTATTAAAAAAATTACTTTTCTGACTTTATTTCTTGCACAATGTGTACCTACTACAACTTTAATTTACCTATACTGTAATCTAATGGAAGATCGTGAGATATCAGGATAACGTCTATCCAATGTTTAACTAAACATGTTCTGCATGTGCAAGACATGAATTATGATACAACGATTATATATTATTACTTTATGATTCGAGGTGATAAGCAAAAAGCTGTAATTACATCATGAAGTAGCAGTTTCAGAGCCTTCTTGTGTCATACAATTGTTAATAGATGTAAAATTATACTCTCCAGGTGTAGATAGTCTTTGAAAAGTTTATGTCCGTTTACGCATTTGTCGTAGAGTTACCAAAAAACTTACACTTGCAAGAGACATATTTGCAAACGCAACGTTGATACCGGAGTGCATTGATAACATAATTAGTGTTTATCAGACTATAGTCTAGGATTTATATTATCCTTCTCCTATAATTTCGGGGAAGATGTTCAATTTCTTATCAAATTTTCAAAAAGGACTCAAGAATAAAAGAAAAGACAAAAGGGGAAAAGAAAGGAAAAGAAACATATGGTTGCTATTCCGCGCTACGGATTTTGCATCGTTGATGTATCCTTGCTTCACTGTGTGCCGCATTATGGGACTGTTTTCATACAAGTTCAACGCCTCGAACATCAAGACTTACAAACCAAGCTATATTTTATCGACCATCGTTATGTGCGTTTTTTGTACTGCCTATTCAATAGTATTTAATGATATTATTATTGCTAAAAATATGCCAATAGTCACAGACGTAGACACACCCAGGATACTTGAACAGGCGAGCGAGTACGTTTTTGGTGGATTTATAGTAGTCACTACATTGATTTTGACTAAACCACGAATGCGTTTTCTTCAGACCATAATGGAGGTTTCATCGAAATTACCCCCGCAATCGTTTCAGAATTTATCTAGATTAATTCACGCTAAGGACATATTCGTTATCCTGTTTATAATTATGTCATTGGTGAAACACTTTTCGACAATGCTACAGAACATTAGCATCTTCCGCAAACTTGTTGCGCCATACATGATACTCCTGATTTTTCAAATGAATATGCTGTATATGGATTGTGTTTGTATATTGAAAGCCTGTTTCAAGCAAATCAATGACAGTTTGATGAATTTGCGAGAACTCTTTACGAATGGTGAGCCATGCCTTCTGAGCGGCACCTATAGAGCGCAGAGAACTCCTTTCATACTGCTGGAGATCACAGCTCTGAAAAAGCAGCATTTGGCAATCAACGACGCAGTACGGATGCTAAATATGGTCTTCAGTTTGCAACTCGTTGCTACGATACTTATGGCTTTCGCTCATATCACTTTCAATATGTACTATTTCTTCGGATTGTTAATACAAAATTGTTCGACCCTGACCAATTTTGAAAGACAGGCGCTTTTCAAGTACTTCATTGTATCTATAATGTGTTACATTATTACATTAGGAATGATACTATGGGCTTGCGAAACCGGCAAGAATCAAGCACTGGAGATCAAAAGCACTGTTCGCGAAGTATTAAACAACACTAACAATAAGCAAATAAAATACGAGGTAAATTAAAAGGAATTATATTCTTAGTGGTATATTTAATTCATTTTCCAAATCATGTCCCGCGTATACTATGAATCGATGTATAATATATTAACTTATCAAATTCTCTCTGTCAATTCTGTATTTGACAATTTTTTTCTAACATTATAGTTGAACCTTTTTTCATTGCAATTATTACATTGTGAAAATGTATTTTCCACGAAGTGGATTAATATGGACACTACATTGGCAACTGTGGTAAGTGATTTATTATTGACTTTTATTCAATAAAGGTAGGTTTGTTTAATTTAGCTTTGTTTAATGATATTGTTTTTTAGTTTATAGGTAGCGTTACGACGAATCTAGCAATCTTGGTCCAATTCGCGTACATGTCAAATACTTGCGAGGAAAATCTGTCTAATAATAAGCAATAAATCTATATAGTATAAACATAGAAAACAGGTTTTAAATATTCTTCTGTGTATGTGATTGTAAGTAGAGAATCGTTGTGAATAGAAATAGTGTTTTATGCTTATAACTATAGGTATACATATAGGTATACGTACACGTATAAAGAAATTTAAAATATTTCATATTCTATAGGTAAGAATTATTTGTAATCCGTGAAGATACATTTTATTTATTAAGGTGTGTAATCAGATATTATATGTAATATATCCATTTCTGAGAAATATAATTTTGGAATTATGAAATAAACCACAAAATCAAGTTTCTTAATTATTCACATTATAATTTGTACAGATAACAACTCCAGTATTAATAAATCAGCACAATATAAAATTTTTATATGTAAACATATATGCATTTACATATTATATATACAGGGTGTCTGACACAGGAGGACCACTACGAAAAATGGGTATAGATTGTGTAGCTTTTTAATAATCTGTTAATTATCCCATGTAATAAATAGAGAAATATAATTTTACGTATTTTTGCATACACCGGTAACATTTGCCTTTGTTCTATTTCTTGAATACGTTAACTAGATTGCTCATCCTATTTACATTTGTTGACAGTGCGCTTAAGTTCAACACTGCACGCAGATGTTACTTCGAATCTTACAGGCAAGATCAAAGGAATATTATGTTAAGCGTCAAGTAATTATGGTGTTCGTCAAACAGCAATAGCATTCTTGGCTACAATATGTAAAATAATCACGTCTATTTGTTTGTGACCCATCGTGTTATGTACTCAAACAGAAAACGGATAATACTGACGGTACAATATTCAAATAATTTTCCGAAATATCCTATTTTTAGGTGCTTTTAGTATTTAACACCTTCTAGTATTAAAAAATTTACTTTTCTGGCTTTATGTCAGCACAATATGTACGTACTACAACTTTAATTTACCTACGCGGTAA